GTGCAAGGATTCGATTAAGGATATCTACCATATTTGAGCCATTAACGTAAAAAAAAGATTGATTTAAGACACATTAACAGGTCTGTTCTGCACGTCACCGCTGATTTTGTAACCGGAAAATTGTTTTTGTGTTTGTTATTCAGCAATTCAGCTATGAAAATTTGTGGAAATTCTGCCATTGTATTTATCACGGGAAAATATTTTTCGTTACCAGCCTATAAGAATTTACATACAGATGTATGTCATAAGAATAAGGCCATAAATCTATAAAAATTGACTTGAGATCGTGTGTAAATATTTGCAACATTTTATCAGATTATGAATCAAAATAAATCACATTCAATGTTCAACCGAATTTAGCTTAAAAATGTACATGGATGTCAAGTCAAATATGAAATGTCGCACACAATCTGTCCCCATTGCGTGTGGTATTTTTGGGGCTCATTAAATCATGGACGTGGCCTTCAATTTCTAGTTTTTCGATTGACTGAAAGTGCAAATGCAAATCGTGCAAACATAATTGATTTCATTTACAAATTCATACACATGAGCGTCTATTTTTGTTCATAATTATCACAGATTGAAAAGAATCACTTTCGTGGACGATGTATTCAAATGGGTATGCAAAAATAGTAATTTGTGGGAAGCACTTGGAGGAAACAAAAGTCATTTCAGTTTCTGGAGATCGTTTTACCAAAGAATAAGGATAACATTTTATGAAAATGTGTGTAAATTATGTGCATATACATACATATATACGTACATACACATACATATGTATATTGTGAAAATCCAGCTAAATATTCCGACAGAAAAAAAGTATGAGTATGTGTTGCCGAAGAAGAGGAGCTGAACTAGAGTCCGACCGATTAATCGGCATCGGCATCGGCTAGTATCGGCCAAAAGAATCGGCATCGGCATCGGCTGTTTTAATTTTTTTTGCACTTCATTCCATGTTATTTTTTTTTACTTCTTTAATTCCTTTAAATCTTAAAATATTAATGCATCTGAGTTTTCCTGTCATAAATGTGTTCTCATGTTCCGTTTTTATGATGTACGGTGGCGAGAATGTAAATAGGGAAGACACATTTTAGCAAGTTTTGGCTATTTTTCTTTTGACAAATTTTAACAAATGTTCATCAAAGTTTGAAACTGTTTAACCAGCTTTTATATTTTTGATTTCTAATTTTTTTTGTTTATTTTTTTTTAGTATAATACTTATACTTATCTTACTTATCGATGATTTTTGGTTCAAGCATTTTGTTCCATACAAAGTATGTTCGAATTTTTTTTTTGTATTGAGAAAATCAGCAACACCTTCCACAAAAAAGTTGCCAAAAAAAAGTTGCTACTTAAAATTTACACTTCGTATAATAAAATTGAATGGGCTACAAAGCGGCATACTCAAAATGTTTCTAGAAGAAACTAATTAAAAAGCTATCGGATTTTGCTAATTTTTGTACAGAGTTTGAAATTTTTTCATAAAAAAGTATTAAACATTAAATAAACGAAAGGGAAGTAGCCAAAGAATGCTAAAATGTCTCTTCCATATTAAAATTTTCATCACTGAATTCCTAAATCTTTCGTGAAAACACATTTATAGTCAGAAAAAGCTGCATATTTTTACTACACTATGGGTACAACTGGGAAATGTAATTTCTAATAAACTGACTATGGAACAAAGTATTGCAATGATATGTAAGTATAAGCGAGATACTATTTTTTGAAACATATTTATTTATGTATGTACACAAATAAGTGAATAGATTCTTGAATTGAATGAATTTAGTCATTTGATTTTTTGTTATTATTAAAATTTTTAAAAAGCATTTGTTCTTGAATGTATGGTAGTTTTTTTAAACAGTCGACATCGCCCAAAAATTGTGAATCGGTCGGACTCTAGGCTGAACACAGCGCAAAGGGATTATAACCCTCACTAAGTAGAATTCTCATTTCTGTGTTGCCTTTTGCAGAATAAGAGTAATCAGTTTACGCATATTTTGAAAATTTGCAAAGTATACCATATTTCAAATTAAAATTTTTAATAAAAATACTCATTTATTCCCTAATGTTATCGAGATCAATACGAAACAAAAGTAGATAGATTGTTGATCATCCCCTTATGTTTGCGCTTTTAATTTTCGAACATCTGGTAACACTTTTCTGTTCGCCATTACAGGCAATTTATTTGTTTGCTTGTTTAAAAAAATAGTTAAATATTATTACTGATAAAGTGAAAAGAGTGATAAATAATGTAAATATATACGTTTCTTAACATCCCCGCCAGGTTTCATGAGAAAATTCAGTATGAATAATTAAAAATAATTGGGGTGCTGAGATTTTTTTTATGTAAATTTTATTAAAAATGTTAAAATAAAGCTATTAAAAATTTATAATAATTTACCTCATTAATTTTTCTCTTTTTAACCGATTTCAAAAAAAGGAGAAGGTTATCAATTCATCCGATTACCTTTTTTTATGTATATTACCGCATAACTTTGGACCACATTAACCGATTTTGATAATTCTTTTTCTGGTGTCTCAGGAGAGGTCCCATACTAATTTGGTTTAGATGCGATCATTGGATCATGAAGAAATTAAATCTAAATTTTTATATGAGAATTCAAGTCGGTATTGTTTTTTGTTAAAAAATGCTTTGTTTATTTTAACAATAGTCTTCGAGGGTCTTCTGCAAATCGATAAATCGTTTTAGTGATGATTCCATTTTGTTTTTTTTTTTTGCGCCCCCTTAGCCCATACCTCCGTACGCCCATGTGTGTTTGTATCACAAAACTATTATTCCCAGCCTAGGAAGACAGCACAATACCAATGAGATTATGAGCGATAAGTATTTTTTTAATGGCCATTTTATTCATCTTATAAATAACGGTATTCTATGTATCTTAAACTGAATAACAAAGAAATGCAAATTATCTGCCGATAAAAAAAAAAAATTTCAACAGTAACGATGCGCGCAATTTACTTCGGAATTGGGAAATGGTGCCAAATATACCGTAGAATAGAACAAAAAATATATAAATAAAACAAATATTGGGAAATTGAATTTTTTAATCTGAACTTGCATCGTTTTCACCCAATTGCACCGAGTGGCAAGTGGATGCCTACCCAATTTACAATAACACAGTTTTTTTTTCTTTCCGCTTGTTACTTGTTTTGCTTGCACAGTTCTTTGTTTGTTTTAATCTGCTTGCACACCGCCACTGGCTGCAGAATGCACCCCGCCACACTCAAAGACACAAAACAATTGGCACTTGGCTGCCAAAACAGTCCGAGGTTTTTTTGCCATTTTTTTTTTTGTTTGTTTTTGCATTTTTTCTTTTTCTATATTTTTTGGTTTTTGGCCTTCATATGTTGCAGAGTCGCACAGCACAGACAATGGTCTTAAGATCATATTACATAATAAATATTCTCATGAAAGGAGGTAATCACACTTGTGCTAGGGGTGGACTTATTTTGTCGCCTTTTTTTTACCCTGGTTATGATGAGCGGAGTATCCAGATCGTTGCCGCCGACCAGACGAATGCCCCAGGGTGTATTGGGACCATCTCGTTGCAGAACTACGGTGAATTCATGTAGTTTCGGGCTCATCGCTTGCCACGAAAAGCAGCTTCCTTAAGGTGAAAATAACGTCGACGACGACGACGAAGCCAACTACTTTTTCAATCGAACACAAAAACAGGACACTTCGCAAAAAACTGGTTCGTCGTTAAGGCAAATACAAAAAAAAAAATCACAGCGCACTCGCGTTAACAGAAACGCACGGCCATCGAGGAGGCAAGTGGACTTCTATCGCTGCTCCACTGACACCGTAACGGTATGCTTTGTATCTTTCGAGGCAATGTGGATACGCAGACGGCGGCTATGTTCTGTTTGTCTAGCTGTGGCACGGCGCTCGGGCGCTCGGGCGGTTTGCGGTGTTGCAACAAGCCGATTACACTGAAAATTCGCAGACGATTTGATCGCGCTGAAAGTTGCTCAAGCACTAATTTTAAATGCGCCAAACATCGAATCGAATTTGCGGCGGAAGCCGAAATGCTTTTTTTTTTTACTTATTTCATTCGACGTTTTTGCAATCCATCCGTCGGCCCTCTCCCGGCTTGTCCCCTTCTTCCTAGTTGTCCTCTTGTGGCCACCACAAGTTTTCTGTGCCTTTTAGTGATGGTTCTTTATTTTTTCCGTTTTATTGATGCTTTTACGATTCGTTTGATTTTTTTTTTTTCAGTTACAATTTTTATTTATTTAAACTTTCCTTGTATTTGCGAAAGAATCGTTAAAATCATAAAAACAGCCAAAATATATACCACTAACTAAGAGGAATTAAGCGCGAAACGCGAGGGGAAAACGGAAATGAATAAAAAAAAACACTAATAAATTTATGTACATATGTATGTATTTATCCATGTGTGTATGTATAAGTTTTAGTTTTCCCGTAGTCATTTACTTATACCTGATTATCTTCAAAGGTAAACGAGCCACGGTGAACGGAATATCCCCGTGGGTAACTAGGTAAAGGGGCAGCCGCATGTGGGAAAATGGGAGTGCATTGCCTTTTTCTGCCAAGCAGAGATTAACAACTACGGTTGAACGAAAAGATGCATGGCAATGTAAGCGAGCGGATAATGTGTAGTTTTGAAGCTACAAACAAAACAAAAAGTTTGAGGGCTAACTTAAGTATATCTTTTTTCACGTTATCTGAACAGCTGCTGTAGCCGAACTTGTTGGTCACGGGTTCAAACCAGTGCACAGTGGGTCACAAGACAGAAAAAGTGGTCAAAATTCTTGCTTGACTATTTAAACATGAAAAAAATCAGAAAAAATTGTTTTTATGGTATAGCTTATTATCTAAGGTATCAAAATACGTGGTATATCGATAAGTACCAGGTGTACAAAAATTATGAAAAATACGAGAAGGCACATATTTTGAATTTTTCGAAGTTTTAATATCTTAAAACATATTAACAACTCAACGGGTTTACTCTATTTTCTCCCATCTTACCTGGTATTTTTTGTAGAAAGTTTCTGGTGAAAAAATCTAAGAACAGGGTTGCCAGATACATGAAAATTTATAATTGTTAAAAAATTATATATTTCGGAGCGGGTTTGCCACCTTTCTAAAAAGTTGCAATAACGTTTATTAAAAAAATGTATGCTCATTTAATATTACAATATGGGTATCAACCGAAAGGTGTTTGAACAAGCTTTAACACTAACATGTTTTTGAGTACGGTTACCTATTTATCAACTAAGCCCAGATTTTAATACTAAATTAAAACTAATAGTTATAATTTCACTTCGTACCTGATTTTAAGTCCACTAAACGTGGCAACCCTACCAATATATTACTGCACATCTAGAGGACAATCCCTTTCATTTGACACCTCATGTTTGATAATTCAACGAACGGAATAACTTTTTATACAGGGGCCAACCCTATAGAATTTCTAGGTATCGAAGATGATTATATTAACAAAATCTTGGTAAAAAAATCTCGACTTTGCTTTACACTATGTAAGGAAGGCTATGCGCGTTCATTTGGTATGCCATTATTTTCTCCAACAAACGGTGAATATCTTATAAATTTTAAATAGTTGGCAACCCTACTCGAAAAAATAATACATTATTGCACTTCTAGAGGCTAAGTAAGAAAAGACTTTGAAGGTGACGGCGCAGAACTGATACCTTAGCTTAGTAAGATTGAATATCGTAAGTTTCTTAACAGTTGGAAACCCTACTCAAAAAAATAAAACATTAAATATTTAGAGGCCAAACCGTTTCATTTGACACTTACAGGTCGCAACCCTATGGAAATTCCAAATGCAAAAGGTCACTCTCCTGTCGATACAGAATATATATAAGAGAAAATCTCGTCCAAATCCATTCAGTAGTTTTTGAGATTCTCCTTTATACTAAGTTTGTATAGATATGACCAGAAAGAGAGGTTACTCATACGCCGTGTATCCTGCATGTTCATAGACGAACATACGTTTTCTGGAAAAGTTAACAATTCCATAATTACAAAAAGCGCAAACTATCCGCCGACTTTGATTAATGTACATATGTTTCAAATGGCATAATATTTGGCTTTCGCATACTCTAGGGTATCTAGATTAAATAAGTTTATTGTTTTAAGCTTTTAAATAACATTGGTTTTTGGCCACTTTTCAGTCTTCTGGCCCATTGTGCAGTATTGGCACCAATCGATTGATTTTTAAATCAGTTAATTAATTCGATTTAATTCAATCCGATTACAGTCTATCATGATTAATTTTAATCTGATTGAACAGTTAATCGATAAAAAAAAAAATAATTTTTAATCATTAACCCTCAGATTTATTAAGTAGGTTTGGTGATTAATTAATTTAAATTTTTCCGCGCACATAAGGCCAGTTAATCGAGTATGGCTAGGTACTTCTTCCTCATCAGTCTAAGCAAGTTGGTGTGCATTTTCATTAAGTTCTATTCTAACAGACGTTATGCAAACTAGGTATTAAGTAATATTCCTCTGCGCATGTGCAATGGGTTGTAAAAATTCCCAATTTATGGATTACTAATAACAATGATTATAATTTTTGTATATATTACCTGATTTTTATAAGCGTGAAATACAAAATAATAACTATAACTGATGTTCGGTTTCAAATTCGGACAAACTAGGCCACTTAATCAGATTTTCATTTTAATTGGGTAAACGATTTATGATTAAAATTAGTTCATCGTAGTGACAACCGACGATTACCGATTAAAAAATTTAATTATTAATCGTACAGTTGATTACAACATTACCTTTTCTCACTGGGGTAATGCTGGGGAATGTATAAAGTAATGGATAACCCCTATAACCTATGCAAGAAGTTCGCTACAGCGTTGTCAGACGAAAGAATTGTGTCGCATGTGGCTTAACAAAACTATAAATGGAATCTATAAATATAATTTGTTAAAAAAAAATTATAATTCCGCAAGACAAGGTTTGAGCCCGTGACCAAACAAGTTGGTAGTCTGATAACATGAAAAAAGATATATGTACTTCAGTTAGTTCTCAAAATTTGTGTCCTGTTTAAAACTACACATTATCCGTTCGCTTACATTGCGAAGCATCTTTTCGTTCAACCGTAGTTGCTAATCTTTTCTTTGAAGCAAAAAATAAATGCANTTCAACAACTTTTAGTTAGTTACATATATGTACAGACTTGAGTGTGTATGACACATGTACGACTGTATGTATGAATGTGTGCATCATGTACAATTTGCATGTTTGTTTGCTTTTCTCATACCCATTGGAGTTTGTCTTACGTGTGTTTTATTTGATTTCCTGTGGCGATCTCGGATTTTCATATCTCACAGATAATTTTACGTTTTTTAATTAATTTAATATTTTTCATTCATTTTGTTTTTGCATGTTTTTTTTTTTTTTTTTTTTTTTTGATGTGACAATTTAGGCGGTAAACTGTCAAACAGCTGAAAAAGAAAATACAGAAACAAAATACTTCCGGTTCGTAGAATAACCCAAATACATTCATACAATATGTATATTCGAGTACGTACTTAGTTTATCAATTGCGCCGCACAATATTTGGCAGTTGAGGCATTTATCGTTCTGCCCTCGTGCAAGCGTAAGTATGTATGTATGTATGGAAAACGTCGTTAAATTTTTGATTTGCAGATAAATAAAACAACGAACAAATTTACCACATATGTACATACATACGTTGTTTTACGAGTTCATACATACATACATATATATATATGAAAATTTTTTCGAAATGAAAAGTGTTTATTAAATTGGCCGCCATGTCCAACTACAAGACATTTATGTAAATAAATTGTAGCAAGAGAGTGAAATGTTGCAAGTGAAACGTAATTCAAGGTCGTCTTTATAATATCCTATTGAACAAAGTTAACGCAATACTGAATATTTATATCTACTCGTACAAGTGTAATAAAATTCCAATTAAATTTATAAACCACATGTTTAGCGCCAGAGCGCACTGTCCGACAAATCGAACTAAACGAAGTAACGCAATTGAGGATATTTTTAAATGCCACTCGTACATACATGAAATAATCGCTTTGTGCATATGGCATAGCATTTTATATCAATCTCTATGATGAGTTGAGTTACGCAAAACAAAAAATATATGTATTTAAAAAAGGCCGCGCAGGAACGCAATAAACCAAAATCAGAATGTACCAAGAGCTGTGTAAAGCACTCAAAATTCTTGTTTTGAAATATGTACATATATTTGATGTTGATTACATTATTGTCGCTAGTTTTTCTTCTACCGAAAGAACAAGTGCAGGGGTATCAAATCATGAGTCCAGCACTATGTTATGGTATGCTCCTCAATGTTAGTTTGTACGTATGTATGTACAACATACTATACATAGGAACATTATTCTGTTACACTATAACTAAATTATAAGACAATATTAAGTACAAGCTATGGCATCGGAGGCCTTACGCGTACATATACCTAAATACATAAATAAAATATAAAATATCTACATAAGTATGAATGTATGTACATAATATATTAGAGCACTGCACGATTACATGATAATAACAACTAATAATAGACTGGCGCTTATACATTTTCAATGGTTGGCCGAGCATCTACTCTGATTTGTGGCGTGCTTCTTGACGTAGGCATCCACCGCTTTACGCCGACGCCGAACAGCGATTTTATTTTTATGGGAAGCTGTTTTTCATGGCAGAAATACACTCGAGAGTGTGCGATTGACTGCCGAGGGGCGACCGCTATTGGAAAAAACGTTGTTATTTTTGTATTATTATTTGATGTTGAATGCGCACTGCTAACTACTAGTAAACATATAATGCCACGATGTCGACGCTTACATGGCTACTCTTTCACAATTTCGACATGCGACTTTGGCATGGAGGTAGTCATCAGAGGAGCAAGTTTCAACTTAATTGTAAGACACATAGGAAGGTCTAAGCGGAAAAAACTAAATAAATAAAAGTCATATATCTAACGTATTTATGGGCCAATTTGTCTGCTTTTTACAATATACAAAATATACAAAATTATCTCGCCAGGTGGCGCCACGGTCGAGATATTTCAAAAAACCGTATTTATGGCCAGATTTAGTGCAAAATTAGCGTATGCAGTTGAAACATAATAAGTCATAGATTTCCAAAAACTGTACCTCGAATTGGCGCCGAAGTCAAAATATAAAGTATATTCGACATAACATTCATGTTTTATTTGCGTCAAAAATTCGTTTAAAAGCAATTTTAACAAAAAACCACGATAGAAAAAAAACACCCGCGCGACATGTCCCGTGCGGCAGTGATTAAAATTAAATTTAAAGAAAATATAAGCAATTTGTGGGTAAAATCAAAACCATTTTCAAGAGACATCAATGCACAACATTCTAAAACTAGTCACATTGAAATATTTCCTCAGGTTTCGCTGAAATCGACATTTGAATTGTTGGCCACGAAAAACACTTATGTTTTTGCTTCGCGCGAATGCCCCTTGGTTTTTTGTAATTATCTTGAAAACGAAAAATTGACCAAAATCAACTTTAGCACCAATTATAGGGATAATTAAGAACTTTAAGTTAAGCCTATTGTCAAAATAAAAAAGGTTTTAGATTACGGTTTTTTTTTCAGTTTGAATGTGTACAATGGGTCACGCTCGACATAATGGAAATACCCATATGTAACGTAATCGTACAGTGCTCTGGCATGTATGTATGTACAACAGAGCGTATACTTTACGTATGCACTGGGATGAACTAACTATATACATACATATGTAGATATGTAGATATATGCGCATAAGAATGCATTTACGTCTTTGATTTGGTATTTGGTCAGATGTCAGACACTGCTACATAACGAATTTTCATTCGATTTCGATGGCAATAAAATTTGCTTTATTTATATTTCTACAGCACTGGACTAACAAGAATGCAGCTGGGATTACGACTAAGAAAAAAATCCATCTATAAATAAATATATAAACTAAATCTAGCACGAAACGACAAGATAATAGTGCCAATAAAGTGCCGTAAAGAACATTCAATTTGCGTGTATGTATGTACATTAGTGTGGTCCAAAAATGCATGTGAAAAAGTAATGTCGGAATTTGTATGCTCTCACCCCCTAGGATTGTTCTATACCGAAAAATATATACCACTATTTTTTATTTTAAAATTAAAAAAATATTTAGAAGTCGCTCAAAGTTGTCCATGCATTTTATATGGGGAGGAAGCAACTTTTCGTAGAAGTGGTATAGAATTCTTGAAAATCAATATTTTTCAATCGGAAAACTCTGTTTCTCTTCAGGAGATTCCAATAATAACAGCCAATTTGTTATTTAACCATTTTTGCATAGTAACAATATTTTATAGGTTCGCCAATACTGCCAGAAATTGCCAGAAAATTAAATGGGTAATAAATAAAAATATTTAATATTAAAAAATGGTTAAATAAACAATTGGGTGTTGTTATGGGAAGTGTCCTAAAGAGAACCATAGTTTTTCAAGAATTCTATACCATTTCTACAAAAAGTTGTTTTTTCCCATATAAAATTCATGGAGAACTTTGAGCGTTTTGAGGGACCAATAAAAATTTTTTTTTTGATTTCAAAATTAAAAAGTTAGGGTATTTTTTTGTAGAGCAATGCAAGGGGGGTGAGAGCATTGAAATACCGACGTTACTTATTTTGGACCACCCTAACGTACATACATATGTAAGTATACGCATGTGTATTTCCTTTGATTTCTAAATGCCTCTGCATTCTAGTGATCGGTGCATCGAGCGACCCAAATCTTCTCGAATTCACAGCAACTGACTAACACCCGATTTTTTACGCTCATTTAAATTACACTCTAAGTAATCGCATGAATCACATATGTATTTAAGTACATACATGTGTATTTGTGTTTGGGATATGCAACGGATATGCAGTTGTTGTTTCTTAATTTATGAAAACAACGAAAATTTCGGTGCATCCTTGTCTTATCAGAAATAAAATTAAAAACCAAATAGATTGCTACGTAGCAACTTTACACCTGAAATGCTACTTAACATGAGCGAGGAGCTATTATATGTAAATGTGAAAGTTTCTATGTTTGAATGTTTGGGGCTTCATCACGACTGAACGGATTTCCATGGACTTTCGAACACAGATAGTTTATGACATTCACAATACCATGGAAAAGCGATAATCGACTGATAGTCGTTTATCTACGATCAGTCGACATTCGCAATAGGGCTGTTAACTTCAAGTCAGCACATTCTATCGTCTACCAAATAAACTGTGTATCTGCTTATGATATTTTGGACAAAAGGAGAGTATAAAACAACCCGTATGTTCTTGGGCACCCTTATGTACATATCGTCACCTGAAATGCAAAAGGACATAACAAAACATCGCAACTGATATGGAAAAAGTCATGACTAATGTTTTTTTTTCAGAAAATGATGTGGATAGTTGTAATTCGATGAAATTCATCATATAAATCTAAAAGTGAATTTCGAATTTTTTATTACTTATGACTTTTTGCATTTCAGCGATGAAGTTTGTTACGTCTTTTTGCATTTCGGGTGACGATATGAATTGTTTTGTCGACCCTTAAAACTTACTCACTGATTGACTTATGGAGTAAACACACATACATATGTATGTATGCACATATACATATGTATATGGATATATGCATTACTAAAGTGTTGAGCCTCTCTTTTGTAACTCACCTCGGGCGAAGCTGGTGGTGATAACGGTATTGAGTTCACCTCAGCTGGTTCATCTATGAAGTGTACGTGCTTTTTGATACTATTACGGCGACTGGTACTTGTGATAAGCGAACTTTTCCTGCGACCACCGATGTAGCGATCGAAAATTTCGCCGTCTTTTATATAGTCCGGCACGCGCCAAAATGCAGGACGTTGATACGATGTGCTCATTTTGCCAACGACTGGCCAAAGAATCGACCGGACGGACGACTCACCTTCAATTCGACCGACACAGAGGCAACGAAATGAAAAATTTATAAACAAATTTTAGACGTTTTCGCAGAGAGTGAGCGAACTCCAAGAAATTAATAATTGAGAAATTGGAAAAGATCGCACAAAAGCAAAAGAAACTCATTACAACTATGTATGTTAATATGTATGTATGTATATATTATAAATTTAAGTATATACATATGTATGTACCTAGCAAATGATTAATGTATATATGTACATACTTAAATATGTATTCATGCGTATGTTTGTATGTACATCCATCCATGAAACTGAAAAAAATCGCATTTTTTTTTTGTTGTGAATATACATACGCAAACATACATAAGATGCATACATACTCAGATATATATAAGTATGTACATATATGTATGTATGTATGTACATATCGTTGCCTTAATGTAAAAAGGCGCTAACTCATTTTCTTTTGAAATCCAGCTTTGTAGAAAAGTCGGCAGGTTATTGACTAACCATCTAATAAAATTTAAAAATAACTACCGCAGTAATAAACTAGATCCAGCCGTCAATAAAAAACAGCAGGTTTTAAATATAATTCGCAACTAAAGAACTTTACTTTTTATAAAATTAAAAACTACTATGCGATGGGGCTTTTCTATATTAAGGTAAGGTATCTACATAAATATGTACATATATTTATACTTAAATGTGGTGTGTTGCTCTTACGATCTAGAAGTTGGTGAGTGGGCGGAATCCACATTTAGAACCAATTGATTTCTTCGTTTCAACAATAGTATTCTAAAAAACGGCAATTAACCATAAACCATCTGTTCATTTCACTTCATCGTGGTAAATCGTTCATCCGATGATTAAGGCATTTCAAGTGAAAAACTGCACTTGCTGCCCTCGCAATACCGCAATACCGCCATCTGCACTTGTGCCTTCAAAATTTCGTACACATTTTTTCGCCCTTTCTAGTGGCTTTTGCTACACTACTTATAAATAAAATTTCATAATTCTGCGATCTGATGTTTAAAGGATGTTGAACCCTAACTGATGAAAATTAATGAAATGGCTAAAATATTTTTGCTCCATATTGCATTTTGAAAGTAAAAGCTCTTTAGCGCCGCCGCGGTAGTGAATGGAAAATGTGGCATTTCTCTCCGCCCCTCTCTTGCCCCAAAATTTTAATATCGAGATATAATTGTCAAACCGAGCTACGAGGCATTTTAAGATTAGGACGAAGACACTATTGATGCTGTTTTTCCCAGCATAATACGTATGTGTGTGTATGTACATATATAAATTATACGGTATGAAAAGAAACAGAAACAAATAAAGAGAAAATATCGCACGCGTAATTTATTTATTATTTAGAAAGAAAACAGTATACTAGAATACCAAATTCATATTTCTTACAATCAGCAACAATTTAATATCATCACTTCACTTTTTTTTTTTTCATTGTATAGGTAATGTACACAGACGTAATCGCGAAGGCTCTAAGATTATTTGGAAGCCATCCATTTTTACTTCTTGAACTTTTGCAGCTGGGGTGCCGAAAGCTTCACCTTTCCTGGTATATTTCTAGCCAGCGCTTCTTCTTTGATGCTCTTGAGTAAATCCCTCTCTCGTGGACCGCAGCTTTTGTCCTTGGAAAACATGGTTAGCGCTGTCTTGGCAGCACGCCCACGCTTACCAGTGCCTGGCGTCAACTTAACACGAAACCTTAAAAACGTAAAATCAGTAATGAAAAATGTGTAACTCGCATAGTAAATTCAAGTTTTATTACTTGTAATTTTGCAGTGCCTGGTAAGGCGCTACAACTGGTATAACGAACAATAGTTCATCGCCTTCCAATGGCTGTCCAGTAAGTGAATCTAACATGGCCACATCAGCACCAGATAGCATATCATCACCTTCATCCATATCACCGCCCAACTGGAACGGCTCCTCTTTTCTCTCATAATTCTTCTTTTCTTTGTGAGAAACTTGCGTTTTTATTTCCTCCTCTATCTTCTTATCGGCTGCACTTATTTTATCCTTGCCCGCTGACTTCAAGATCATCATGCGCAGCTCACGCTCTTCATCATCCTGGTCCTTGTATTTAGTTTTCATCTTCTTAAGCTTACCCCGCTGTCCGCGTTTTATTTGCGAAGCATTCTTTTCTTCTTTTTCAGCCGCATTTTGTTGCTGTTGCCTTAATTCCTGCTGCGTTTTTTTCTCTTTCTCCTCTTTCCTTTTTTTGGCATTTTGCTGCTGCTTTTTCCGGGCCGGTGCAGCTGGTATGATGGTTGCTTCTTCGTCCTCATTTATATCTACTTTGACTGAAGTTGCAAGCTTTTGGTGTACTACGTTAGGAGATGTGTCTACCAGTGAGTCACTTCGTATGGTAATCCGCCCTGTATCGTGTTCAATTTTTACTTGCGTATCTGGGAAGTTAGTTAAGTTGTCCGAGACATCCAACTCTTCATTCTCTTCATTTACTTTCTCCAGTTGTTGGATGCTCGGTCCCTGCTTGGCGGTTTCTTCTGCCTCGGCATCTTCATCTAGGGGGTCATCACCTTCTAGATCTATTTCCACATCGCCTTTTATTCCCAACTGATTCATTCGTTGTTCTTGCTCTTCCAATTCCTGCTGCTCTTCCTCAAAGGTGCGCAGCTTTCGCTCACCACGATGCCTTTCTACAAAACTATCTTCTAACTTGAATAGTAAGCTCAGGCCCATTATCAAGTGGCACGATGGTAAGAAGTTCTTTTTGCCGCGTATCATGAAACTACCCGTACCCAGGTATTCACCGGAAGGTGCTGTCTTGGTGACTTGATCGCTGCGCACCCAGTACGCATTTGTCACAACTTTGGCATCCCAAGCCACACTGTATGATATAGCCATGGTGCCTGCTTCTAGTAATGTCTTGGGTGGTATCTCACCTGCGCTGGGGTTTCGTATAACCACACTCGAAGCTCCTTGAATTTCGGCATGTACATAGATGTCGGATGCTCGCATGTAACTGTAAATCGGATTATGGAATACACATTTTTAAACAAACTCAGACGAATATTTATTAAAAATATATATATTTACCGTTTCACAATCAATTCATTTTGTTGTGCGTCTCTACCGCCAATAACTAAGTAATTTTCAGAACTAATAAACCAATAAAACTTTTCGAACCAATATACTTTTCTGGCTTTTGATATCGTCGATATTATACGAACTTCTTTCAACGTTTGCTGCGTCTTTCTTTCAGCTGATTTTAAGGCTTTTTGTGACGCGTCAATAGTTTTCTGCTCCTTTTTCGCTGCGTAGCGCTTCAAGTCGTAATATTTTCGAGCATTAGCCCAAGCGGATAGTGCCAAATCTACATCTACAATTAGTGTTGGCAAACCATCGGAATCATCGCTATTAGTTTCGCGATCATCAGAATCTTCCTCAAAGTTTTTATATGGATCTGAGAGCCGTAAAGATATATGATTAGTTTCCAATTTCAGTTGCTTAATCACACCAGCCACAGGATCGTCATCAGCCTGAGCTTCCTTAACAACTTTATCTATATCGGACCATGACATTTGCGATGCAATTAATGACTGAACAGCTGATATTGCGTGGTCAACTAATTGTTGATTACATGTAATCAACTCAGCCTTCTGTTTATCCACTTCCTGCGACTTTGTAAGGTTTTCAAGACGCTTGGCATGATCTTTTTTAACATTTGAAAGTTTTTTCAAAGCGTCGCGCTCCTGCTGTAATGTTTTCAGGTCTATTTTCTGCCCCTCCATCGTAGAGTAAAACTCATCCACAGCTAACATGAAAGTGTCAAACTCAGCTACTGGTTGACCTTCAAACTGTGCGAACAAAAATGGATGATATTCAATATTTTGGTAAAAGGCCTCTTTCGATTCGCTACCGTCAGTTGCAGGTTTCTCTTCACGTTTTTGAATAATATAACCCTTTGGGACAGAAGAGCGTCCTTGTACAAAAATCTCGTTGGCTTCCTAAAAAGAAGTTAGTTTAAACATTGGTTTATGTGCAAAAAATGTTCGAAAAGTTACTTGAATTGCTTGCATAAGAGTAGGTAAATCAGTCTCTATATTGAAATTTCGTGTATTTATTGGATTCCCTCCTCTTTTCTTTTGCTTCTTTGATTTTTTGCCGGCCTTGCTTTCACCTTGCTGATTCTCTATTTCGGCGGGGACATTATCCTCTTTTTTCTCACCTTCAGATGGACTATCTTTCTTCTCAAGCACACAATTTTCCAGTTTGTATTTATGCAGCACATGATCGATGACAGCCGGTCCAAAATCTACTTTTGGCATCAGCAAACGTCTTAAATTCTCGCCCG